CCCACTCTTGACCCGAAACCCCCACCCCCGACACCACACGAATTTTATGTTGTTGTTTGTTTCTACTTATTTCTACCATTGATACATAATATTATTATATTTAAATTTAAACTAAAATCTAAGAGGAGCTGTCATCTTTAGGACTTTGCTTTTTACGTACAAGTGCCACGGGAATTGGTTATAGAAATACAGTAGTTTGGTAATTTTCCTGTGTCGACGTTATTCAAAATACAAAAAATCTTACTTACTTGTTTGTTTACCAAGCACGACACTTTCATGTTAGGCTAGCAACAAAACAAAATGAGTCGGTTTTGTTTTCCTTCTTTTGCTTGTTTTTGTTTGTTTGGAATGTAGTTGTTGTTGTTTTATTGTCGTTTTTATGGTGTGTTTTTTTTATTTTTACGAATATTATTTTATTTTATTTTATTCATGTTTGTGTGTGTGTGTGTGTGTGTGTGTGTGTGTGTATGTTTGTGTGTGTGTGTGGGGGGGGGGTTGAGGGGGAGGGGGGATCTTTACGCAGTAATAAAAATAGTTTCTCTATTTTGTTCTGGCACCGTCTTCTGTAAGCATACAGAGGATCACTACAGCACAGTAAATGTTACTGTAACATAGCCTACAAACCACTCACTCTGAAACAGCGTCACCACCATCCTGCCCCCACATTTTACTATAAACTTGTAGATGTCCTCCCAAGACAGTCTAGACGTCTCCACGTGAGTCTCGCACAGTACTCACCCGTCTTTTGGACCGTGTAAAAGGCCTGCAATTAAAGTGTTGTTTTCTTGAATAATATAGATCAACTTCTGGATGTTTTGGATGTATATTGTAAACCCCCTATTTTATTTTGTTTGGGTTTTTGTTGCTTTTTGACACATTTTGAGCTAACATTAAGTGGGTGGTTGGTGGGTGTTCTGGTATGGTTCGCTCCTTTTTTCCTATCAACCATCTATTGTCCTGAGCTCTCCTCCTTCATATTTTGTGTGAGTTGCTTTCTTGTAACACCCTTAATCTTCGGCACTAATATGACCTTGTTGTGTTGCAAGTGCCGTAAAACTCTTACTAAAACTAAACTAAGCTAATAGCTAACATTAAAGAAAAAGTGTGGGAACCTTAGTTTACAGCGACCTTCATTGAAAGGCATTTTAAATTCTTTTTTTTTTTCATCTTGCTTTTTTTTTTCTTTAGACCTGCATACAAAGTCACGAGAAGATCAAACAGAGCAATTTGTTTGGGTTTTTATTCTTTTTACCGCTGCACAACAAAATTAAACATGCTTTAGATCTAGATTTAGGTCTAAATTTCGCTTTATTCTTTTCGAAAAAAATGATTTTTAAAATCCCCAGAATTCTGGAAATTGGAAAATACTTTTAAATGAAAACAGAAACTGCAGTGGAAAAACAAACTGTAATCTATATAATAATAATACACTACTTGTTTCTTCCTGGAGTTCATATTGTTGGTTTGATCAAATGTCCTTGTTACACACACACATACACACACACACACACACACACACACACACACACACACACACACACACACACACACACACACACCATCCCACACA